AATTTAAAAAAATGGATTTCAAATAAAAAGAGGCACTTGAAACATCACCAGAAAGAAAACCAGCCTTAAATAAATTATTTGACTTGTAAACAATCCAGACAGCAGAAATAGAAAACAAGGAAACAAATATAATTGATGACAAAAACAACAAAATAATGAGGGTATCATTAAGAGATTTCTTTCTAAATGTATAGAGAAACAAGGGTGAAAGCAGAAGTCAAATAGAAGTGATGGAGGAGAAACAGGCTCTGAATATCATGGACTAATCCTTATAACACCCTACCTGCAAGAGAATTAATGCATTTTTATGTGAGTATATTACATAATGGCATTGTTTATAAAAGAAGGGATAGTAAAAGGAAAATTGAGGGGGTTATATATGATATATCTTAAACAAGTAAAAGGCTAATAATAAAAGATAAATATCCTCTATGTCTCTCAGGAAGAAGAGAACCTATAGGGAAAGGAATGAGGAGGCAAAAAAGAGGTATTGAAAAAGGGAGGAAGAGGGGAAACTTGTTTCAGGCATAGGAGGGAATATGGTTAATGAATGATGTCATAGGAGAAAATTGATATTCTGTAAGATTCTATAAGACTTCAGAATGAGTATTGTCTGTAGAGATTTGATGCTCAGAGAGAGCACTCATCCCATCCCAGGAAAAGTTAAGTGCTATTGATATGCAGAAGGGTGGGAAGACAAGGACTTAGGGAAGAGATCCCTGGCTAAATACAGAAAACAATTAAAGGAGAAAGGGAAAGCAAACATTTATTAGGCACCTACTATGTGCTAAGAATTTTACCTCACACTTTACAAATGTTATCTCCTTTGGGAGGACAAAGGTCAATAATGGATATCACAATCAATTGCATAATCAGGGACACAGAACTAATCCTACTATAGGGGTATATCCCCTCTGTCACCTTTGAGAATTAGTATTTCTAAGAGTGAGGCACAAAAGGAAAAGCAGAAGGGAATACACATTTATTAAGCACCTACCATATTCTAAACACTTTAGAACATCTCATTTGATCTTCATAACAACTCTGTGAGGTAGGCACTATTATAATGATCTCCATTTTACAATAGAGGAAACTAGGGCAGATAGAGGTTAAATGACTTGCCCAAGGTCACAGTTAGTAAATGGCTGAGGTTAGATCTGAAATCAGCTCTTTTTTATCCCTGGCCTAGCTTTTTGTCTATTGAACTACATACATGGTAAATGGTAAAAGGGGACTAGGTGCAAAATTAACAAGGAAATAAAAAAAAAATAGAAGAAATAACCCAAAATGGATACCTCAAGAGTTTTAATTTCGTGAGGAACACAGAGTATAAAAAGACATTAAATAAGCATAAGGGTCATGTATCAAATAATAAAAGTTTAGAATAATCAGAAAGGGTAGATAAATGATGAAAAATTAGGGAAAGAATTAGATTTTAGAAAAAACACAAACAAAATAAAATTTAAAAAGCTAATTGACAAAAATATTGAAGTGGAAGGACAATAAATTTGTTTCTACCTATTTTAATTGATATGAAAAAATGAGGGGAAAATTAAATAAATAGACAAAATCGAGAGGAAAAGAAATTAATAAGCAAAACTCCAAATTAAAGAAAAGATTGACAAACAGGAATGTGCAGGAGAGGTTAGGGAAGCTTCAGGGTGAGGTGAAGAGAGTAAGTGGCAATAAGGTCATCTTAAAATAGATAAAAATGCAGAGGAAGAAGGGGGAAAATCCTAATATGGAAAAAATAGAGACAAATGGAAAAATGTATATAAACCTAATCCTAATAACTTAAATGTGAATGGTTTAAGCAAGGCAATAAAAAAAAAAAAGAATGGCAGATTGGTTAGACAAACAAATACCCACAATCTGTTGCTTAAAGAAGCACATTCTGAAAATAAAGACATGCACAGAATAAAAATGAAGGGCTGGAAAAATTACTATGAACCAAGTGAATCCCCAAAAGCAGGAGTTGCAATAATACTCTCAGGTAAACCCAAACCAACACTCAAAAAAAAAGTAATAGGGAAACTACAATATGCTAAAAGGAAAAAAAAAACAGAAAAAAAGTGATAAGGAACCTACAATATACTTAAAAGAAGCATTGATAAAAGCAATATTAATATTAAATTTATGTGCTCCAATTGCATTAGAAGCTAAACTCTAAAAAGAAAGACTAGTTCAATTGAAGAAGACATAGGGAGTTAACACAATAGTAATAGGAATTCCAATGTCCATCTCTCAGGTTTGCATATGTCTAAGATAATGATAAACAAATGGAAAAATAGAGAACTGAATACATTGGTGGAGAAATCAGAATTAAAAGAATTATTATGTTTTCTGCTAAACTCTCTCTCTCTCTCTCTCTTTCTCTCTCACTCTCTCTCTCTCTCTCTCTCCCCATACTTACACACAGACACACACACATATGTGTGTATGTGTATATATATACATACCTGTATATATACAAATACACATACACACATCATATAATTTATATACACATATGTATACATATATGTGTGCCTGTATGAATATGTGTATATATACATCACATGGAACATTTACAAAAATTGACTTTATTAGAGTAAATACATATAAAAAGGAAGAAACTATAAATTTGCAAACTATATCTCAGACTATATAACTCAAGAAACTAGTAATCATTCAGAGATCACAAATAAAAGATACAAATATTTCACAAGTGGAGACTTAACAAAGAAATCCTAAATAATGAGTAGGTTGAAGAATAAATCAAAGAAAAACTGAAAAACATGTTTTTTGATAATTAATTAATTTATTTTTAATTTTCAACATTCACTTCCATAACATTTTGAGTTTTAAATTTTCTCTCCCTCTCTTTTCTCCCCCTTCCCCAAGATGGCATGCAATCTGATATAGGTTCTATTTATACATTCATATTAAATATATTTTCACATTTGTCATGATGTAAAGAAGAATTAGACCTAATGGGAGGAACCACAAGAAAGAAAAAAACAAAATGAAAGAATGAAAGAAAAGGAGAGCAAATAGTATGCTTCCGTCTGCATTCAGACTTCAAAGTTTTTTCTCTGGGTTTGCATAGCATTTTCCATCTTGAGTCTTTTGGAGTTGTCCAAGATCCTTGCATTCCTGAGAAGAGCTAAGTCTATCAAAGTCAGTCATCACACAATGTAGCTGTACAATATTCTCCTGGTTCTGCTCATTTCTCTCAGCATCAGTTTGTATAAGTCTTTCCAGGTTTTTTAACAATATATTGTAGGATTATGGTTCTTAATCCACTATGCTATCTGTTCCACTTTTATGGGAGAGTTCATCCCATTCATATGATTACTATCTGTGTCTTTTTCTCCATCCTATCCACACCCCCTGCCCCCATTTATGCTTTTCTCTCTCCTTTCTCCCTTTCCCTCCTCAGGAGAGTCTTGCTTTTAATCACCACCTCCCTCAGTCTGCCCTCACTTCTATCAGGCCCCTCCCTTTTCTTCCCCTTTCCCCTTATTACTTCTTCCCTCCTTTCTATCCATCCCTCCTTTTTCTTTCCCCTTTCCCCTCATACCTCCAATAGAGCAAATTAGATTTCTATGCCTAACTGATTAAACTGTTCCCTCTTTGAGACAAATCTGATGAGAGTAAGGTTCAAACAATGCTCATCTCCCTCCCTTCTTTCCCTCTACTGTAATAGGTTTTTGTGCCTTTTCATGTGATGCAATTTACCCTTGTCTGCCTCCTCCTTTCCTCTACTCCCAGAACAATCCCTTTTCATCATTTAATTAGATATTTATCATCACATCATAGTCAACTTATACCCAAGCCCTCTGTCTATGTATACTCCTTTTAAATGTCTTAATAGTGATACAGTTCTCAAGAGTTACAAGTGTCATCTTCTCTTGGAGGGATGTCCTTATTGATAACATGTTGTTGTTGTTTTCTTTCCTGTTTACCTTTCTATACCTCACCTGAGTCTTATATTTGAAGATCAAATTTTCTGTTCATCAGGTCTTTTCATCAGGAAGGTTTGGAAGCCCCCTATTTAGTTGAACATTCATCTCTTTCCCTGAAAGATTATGCTCAGTTTCACTGAGTAGTTAATCCTTAGATGTAATCCAAGCTTCTTTGCCTTGTGGAAAATCATATTCCACACTCTCTTATCTTTTAATGTAGAAGCTGCAAGGTCCTACATAATCCTGACTGTGGTTCCATGATATTTAAATTGTTTCCTTCTGGCTGATTGCAGTATTTTCTCTTTGACCTCATAATTTTGGAATTTGGCTACAATATTCCTTGGCTTTTTCAATTTGGGATCTCTTTCAGGAGATGATTGGTGGATTCTTTCAGTGACTATTTTACCTTCTGGTTCTAGGACATCAGGGCAGTTTTCCATGATAATTTCCTGAAAGATGCTGTCCAGGCTCCTTTTTCGATCATGGTTTTTAGGTAGACCAATAATTTTCATATTGTCTTTCCTGGATCTATTTTCATGGTCACGTTTTTCCAATGAAGTATTTTGTGTTTGCTTCTATTTTTTTCATTCTTTTGTTTCTGTTTGACTGATACTTGATATCTCTAGAGTCATTAGCTTCCACTTGCCCAATTCTAATTTTTAATGAATTGATTCCTTCTGTTAGATTTTGTACTTCCTTTTCCATTTGTCCTATTTTACTTTTCGAGGAATTCTTCTCTTCAATGAGTTTTTGTGCCTCCTTTTCCATTTGGCCAATTTCATTTTTTAAGGACTTGTTTTCTTCAGTGTACTTTTTTCCATTTGGTCAATTGTATTTTTCAAAGACTTGTTTTCTACAATCAATTTTTGTCCTTCCTTTTCCAAGCTATTGACTCTCTCTTGCAAACCTCTCATTTCCTTTCCTAATTTTTCTTCTACCTTTTATGTGACTATTAAAATCCTTCTTGAGCTCTTTCAAGAAGGATTTTTGGGAGAATGCATGCACAGTGAGGCTGTAGCTGCAGCTGCTTGTGGCTGAGGGTGCCTGGGAACCATGATCTAGGTTGTGTGTAATGGCAGACTGGGCTAGAAGGTCTGTGTGAAGTGCAACCCTGAAGACTCCATAGGGGACCTGAAGAAGCTGATTGAGGCTCAGATGGGCACTCATTGGAATAAGATCATCCTGAAGAAGTGGTACTCGGTGTCCAAGGACCATGTGACCCTGGGGGACTATGAAATTCATGATGGAATGAACCTGGAGCTCTATTACCAATAGGGGATGGCCAGCATCCATGTCTGCACCTCTTCCCTCCTTTTTTTTTAATATAAATGGCTAATGAAATAACTTTTAAAAAAGAGCAGAGTTAATAGAGCAGCTTCCATCAGGTTTCCAGTGGCCCTAAACTACATACAGGTGGTAGAAGTTCTTTAGAAATCAACCAATGATGGATGCAGAGAAACTGGGCAAGACTTCTGTGAACTACTGCAAGGTGAAGTGAGCAGCACCAGAAGAACAATTTATACAATAACAAACAATAATATAAAGACAACCAATTCTGTCAGACTTAGAAACTTTGATCAATACCATCAACAGACCGCAATGCCAGAGGACACAGGATAAAACAATGCTATTCACCTCCAAAAAGGGAGGTAATGGACTCAATATGGAGATAGAGGCAAAATTCTTTTTTTTTTCTTTTTAATGTGACCAATGCAGAAATTTGTTTTGTTTGACTCTACATGTTTGTAATATGGTTTTGTTTTCCTTGGTTTTTCAGGGAGGAAGGAAGTGGAGGTGAGAAAGAATTCATAACTGAAAATAAAATGTAATTAAAAAAAGAAGGCTTTTTGGACTTGAGACTAGTTCATATTTCCCTTTGAGGTTTCAGGTGTAGGTATATTGACAATGTTGTCCTCTTCTGAACGTGTGCCTTGATCTTTTCTGTCCCCATAATAAGCATCTATGATCATTGTCCATTTCTTCTTTCTGCTCTTAATGTTTGCCAGTATTCTGGCTTTTAAAGTTGAGCTCTCCTGCTGGAGTGTAGGGGGCACTGACCCAAGCTTCTTGTTCTGGGAGCCTAGGATCTGGTCACTGGCTTTGTGTGCTATGGCCTTAAATGCTGGAAGCTGGAGGCTGTAGGGGTCTGGCAGCTTACCTGGTGCTGAGCTGGGTTCAACTGCACTGCAGCTCCTGGGATGGCAGTGAGGAGTCTGGTCCCTGGAGGATGCCTGCTCACCCAGACTTCTTTAAAACATTCAAATATTTGGCTGCTGGAGAATGCCTGTGCACATGGTAATTTTCTGAGCTGATATTTAGCAGTTCCCTTGCCTGTGCTAAGTCACTTGGGGGTTCTTGGTGTTGGCTTGCCTGCTCCACCACCCTGGGACTCAGGATCTCCTTCCGTTTTGCTGAGGTGGGGCTTGCTACTGGCTTGCCAGGATGCTTTCTGTCCTGTACCACTTCCCCTCCCCCAGAGTGAGAGGGGCCTTTCCTGTTAATGCCTCAAACTTCCTGGGCTTCAGAACTGCTGCAACCTGGCTTTCTGCTGGCTCAGCTGTTTCAGGTTTTTTTTTCCCCAGGGTGCTATTTTCTGGGCTTTTAGAGGTCAATAAAGAAAGGTGATAGTGACTTACTTGTGACTTTGCCATCTTGACTCCCCCAAAACTGACAATCATGCTAACAAAAATCATGATGATGAAACAGAGTAAAATTTCTAGTATGCAGCTAATGTAGTCCTTAGGGGGAAAATCAGGTTCCTACAAACACCTATTAATAAAGAGAAAAACAGAGATTTAATTAAATGAATGTTCATTAAAAATAGAAAACCAACAAATAATCAAATCTGAAAGAAGTATAACTGAGGGTATACAAAAATTAGGAGAAAAGTAGGCTAACTACAAGCAAAATAAAAACTCTAGGAATGAGATATAAAACCAAACACTGGTTTTGTGAAAAGGCTTAATTGAAAAACCTTTACTCAATCTGATGAAAATGAAGAGGGCAGGAAAATCAAATTAATCAAACAGCAAATAAACACATTCTTGTGGAATCACAAGAAAGGTCAAAGATATAAAAAGAGCAAAACCCATTATACATACTTATATGCTAACAAAATTGAGAACACAAAAGAAACAGGAGAATACTTTCAGAAAAAATAAAATATTCAGACTAATAGAAGACCAAATAGAGATTTCAAGTAGGAATTACCTAAGGGGAAAAGGAGGAAAAAAATGGAAACAAAAATGAAACTAACATCCCTGGTTATGATGGGTTTATGGGAGACTATCAAGCATTTCAAAAATAATTAGCACCCATATTACAAAAAAAATCAAAAGCTGATGTAGAAATTACTTTAATGAAATGCTTTTATGAGAAAAAATTTGTCCTAATAAAAACAAAACAGAGAAGCACAACTATTTATCAATATCATTAATTAATATTAATTCAAAAACTTCAAATAAGTTCTTGTCAGACTATAGTAATTCACTCAAAAAATCATTCCTCAATTGGATAATAAAGAGTGAGGGATTTATGGATACATAGTTCACATGAAAAACACTTTAACATCTTTGGCAAAATCTGAGAGCAATCCATAACAGTGTTACAAGGCAGCCAAAAGTGTTAATGTAATATTAGGCTGCATTAATGGAAATCCAGTGCTTACATTGGTAACAGTTGGAGCCCATTCTCCTCTCTCATTATTAGAATACATCTTCATTATTGTGTTTAGCTAGGGATGCTCCATTTGAGGAAGGACATCGACAAACTGAAGTATATCCAAAGACATGCAAGTAGGGTAGTTAGGGAATGTTTAGCTGTAAGTTATGAGTAACACTTGGAGGAATTATCATTCATCCTAGAAGAGAGATGACATAAGGTGGTCAGGATAACTGTCTGCAAGCTTTTGAAGAGGTCTTATGTGGTAGATAGAGTAAATATTTTTAATTGACTCATAAGGTACAACTAAGAGTAAAATGTGGAAGATATATAGAAGGAGAATTTGGCTAAGATAAAGAAAAAAACTAATAATTAGAACCATCCAAAAGTGGAATGGGCCGCTGTGGGGAGAAAGAGGATTGGGAAAAATAAAGGAAAAAAGAGAGAATGAAGCAGTAGAGAATATATCAGCATAGCATAAGGAGACTTAATGACAACTTTTCTAGATTTTATGCAGATGATTTCTGTTATAATACAGGTTAGATTAAGGTCAGCTAGATGGCACAGTGAAGAGAACACTGGCCTGGATTTTGGAAGATCTGAGTTCAAATCCAGACTTTGATATTTGCTAGCTACGTGACCATGGGCAAGTCACTTAACCATGTTACCCTCCACTCCTCATCTGTAAAATGGGGATAGATTGGATGAAGAAATGGTAAACCACTCTAGTATCTCTGCCAAGAAAACCTCATGGACAATAAGTGTGTGGGGTTATAAAGAGTGGGACATTACTGAATGATTGTACAAGAACATGAGTAAGATTAAATGAGTTTGAACGTAAAATGTGGATAATAATAGTACCTACCTCACAAGGTCATTGTGAGGATCAAATGCTAGATTATACTTTTTAATCAAAGACTTGGAAAAAGGTATAAATGACACCTTTACCAAATTTTCAGATGATACAAAACTAGGAGAGACAGACAACACACTGGATAACAACATCAGCTTCAAAAATGATCCTGACAGACAAGAACAATGGGCAAAGAGATAAATGTGAAGCTTTACAATATGGTTTAAAAAGTTGGCATCAGAATTCTAGGTGGCAAGAAATCTTTGTCAAAAAAAAAGAAGTGTGATATGGAAACAAAAAAATGTGATAATGGATTACATTAAAATAGATGAAGCTTACAGGAATAAGAAGGTCTACCCTAGTCAGACCACACTTAGAATCTTAGATTCACTTTATGACATCATATTTTAGGAAGGAGATGCTGAAGAAAGTCCAGAAGAGAGTAACCTGTATACTAAAGGTCCTTGATGTCAACCATTTTTTTGAAGGAACTGGAGGTAACTAATGCCCAGAGAAGGGAAGACATTTTTGATTTGAGCAACTTCTAGTAGCTCTACCCAAACATTATATATGTCTCTCTGTGTGTGACATGTATGTGCATAAATGTATATACATACATATATACATATACATATGCACATATTGCATACATATACATTACACACACACACACACACACACTTATTTATTTATCTAAATATTTACATATATATTGTCTTTCCTAATAGAATGTAAGCTCCTTGAGGGGAAGAGTCGTTTCATTTTTTATCATTATTTTCCCAATGTTCCTAAGCATAGTTCCTAAAATAGAAAAAACTTGCTGATTGATACATTTAATGTTACACACCTATAGTCCCCTATTTCTAAGAAGTGGAAGGGGAAAGGGGCAGGACCATTTTCCCAACTCTTCTCTAGTACTAAGGTTATAATTATGATGAGATAAACATTTGTTAAATGCTTACTCTGTGGCAGGTACTTTGTCAAGTACTGAGGATATAAATGCCTGCAAATAACAGTCCTGACCTCAAGAAATTTACATTTTTAGGGTACCAAAACAACACATGAAAGGGAGCTGGAAATAGGGGTGGGTGGGCTGACACACTGAGAGATATAGCAGCTGGGAAATGAAGTGGAATTCTGTTTCTGGTCAATGTAAAATATAAAGTTACCAATCTGTAGCCTAAGTTCTTAGGGGATAGACCGACATTGAGTTGGTATTGAGAGGGAGATGAGGAGGATGGTGTGAGAGAATTACTCATATTCTTTTTTTTTGTTCCTTCTATTTACATCATTGAATATACTATATATATTTTCTTGGCACTACATCAGTCCATATAATAGTTTCAAATCTTTTCTAATTTCTGCACATTCTTATTGTGCAGTAATATCTGATTTCATTCATGAGTCACAAATATCACTTTATCATCATCATTATCACCACCACTACCACCACCACCACCATCATCATCATCATCATCATCATCATCATCATCACTTCTGATATTTCTTCCCTCTCTAGGGTTCTATGTTGATAGGAATCTAGGAAGAAACAACATTTACAAACATTTTAATATCCTTTCCAATTTTAATTTTTGGTAATAAATATTATTACTAGCCAGGATGTACATAGCACTTTAAGGTTTACAAAACTCTTCAGAAATATTCTCACTGGGTTCTCACATAAATCCTAGGAAATAGTTGTCATATTATATCTATCTTACAATTAGGGAAACTGAGGCAGACAAGTTACATTATTTGACAT